AAAATTTAAAAATAGCCTGGGTTTTAGGTTCTGCTGGTTTTGTACTGGGAAAAGTGACCAGTTGCAATGAGGCTTCTGTTTCTTTTTTGCTGTCTGCTGAAGTCACATAATGGGGTCAGCCAAAAGAATTCTGCCACGGACACACATTTCTCCCTGATTAATTACCTAAGCATGGAAGCATAAGCAGTGTGTAATTTCTCTTGTAAGAAAGCTGTTGTTTGTGCCTATGTGCATTATCTCTTTGGATATAGAATAGGTGGATGAGGATCTACTGATGCAAGATGAAATCCTAGTGTGAAAATATTATTTTAATTAGAAAATTTCAAATAAGACTAAATCAGACTTCAAGAGCTGAAGATTTGGATTGTGACATGCAGAACATTTTTGCAGGTTTTCAGAAATGCAAATCAGCTATTGCTTTTTTATTGGAGTTTGGGGTTTTGGAGGAGTTTTCTATTTTTGAAATAAATGGCTTAATGCCTTGTGCTTGATTTTATAAGGTAGCCAAGCACTGCAGGCTTTTGGCAAATGTACTTGCTTAAACAAATGCTTTTGTGTGTTAGACTACTCAATCTTTATGTCTGTAATTTTTACCTTCCTCAGTATTTTTTAATAGCTTCAATGTTTTAATATTTTATTTGAAGTCTAACCCAGCCTTTAAATACAAACAGATTTTTCTAACTTTCCAGGAAGTTATGCTGATATGATTAATTCATGCTTTTTAGGGAACTTGATTTCAGTTGAAGAGTTACTAAATTTTGCAAATTGATGGTTGCATGGCACTGTCATTTACAAGGTGGCACAGGATATGAAAGAACAGGTGTGAAAAATGAAGTGAATAAAATTGCTTTTGAAATATAAATGGGCATTTCATGGGCTTCTGTTAGGAGAACATCTTGTCTAAGCTGTACTAAGTATTTAATTTTTCTTTTTAGCGGAATGTTTTCCTCTGAAATGAAATTACATAATAATATTTAACTGCCACTTCTTTACATGCCTGATTTTAAATTTAAATTCATAATTAAGCTTAATATGAAATTAGAAGATTTGACTTCATGCTTTCTTCCGGTACCAGCTCTAGTGTTCACTGCATTAGAAGCTGCAGTCATCACTGAGAACCTTTGTTCTTTTAACAAAAGGTGCAAAAAAAAAAGTAAAAATCAGTTAGGGTCACAGTGGCTTAGTTTAATACTGTTATGATAATAAGTACTGTAATTACTTTCAGATAGTTCTTCCTTCCCAGAGGATGAGATTTTTTGTTTTGATGCCTTCTTAAAGCATGAGAATGACAGTAAAATTAATGTCATAACCTTTAGAGCCTATTTGCGTTTTCTGTGTAGGATTCTAAAGGATTTTGTGTAACATCTAAAATGTCTTAGTATGGACAAGCATAAAATTAGGTTAATTGGGTTCACCTGATATTCAGATTCAGTCTGTGTACCAGGACACCAATTTCGTATAAAAGACCTCTGGGTATCTTCTTGTGAAAATTGCTTTTAAATTATTACATGTATATGCTGTGATTCCTTTGCTTGTTAAAGACCAATTTGCAGTGTAATTTTTTTCCAGCTTATTTGATATTTTGCTTCTCTGGTTGAAAATACGTTTATCCTTTCATTCTGTGGTAACTGAAGGAGTAGTATAGGCATGATAGAGCTTATTTTGTGTCATTAAGGTAAATTTTGCTTTTAATTCTGTCCAACTTCAACTCTACTTCAACTGAATTTCTTGTGATAGGTTTCTTTTCATCTCTGACCAGTCAGCAGATTTCAAGAGAACTATGTTGAGTTCTGGTGTACTGAAACTTGAGTGATTTTTGTTTAGTGTGCTATGGTAGAGTTACAAACTGAGTAAAACAGATTATAAGATTATTTAGAATTTTACAAGTTTTAGCACTGGGATAGGCTCCTAGGTGGAGAAGAATTGGTGATATGGTTAGACAGAAAAATCAGTATCATTCTGTATTTTGAAAGAACCAGTATTGGGCTCAAATATACCCAAGGAAGACATGAAGAGTATTTCCCTCTTTGGTATTCAATAAAAACCAGGAGACATCCTGAATTATTAGTGATGTCCAACCTAAAATTGGTTGTACACATAAAAGTATAAAAAAGGTATAAAATGTAGTTAATAATTTTATTTCTAATTTTGCCTCTTTTTCAAACATCAACATGTTTCTTATGGGAAGTAGCTATATTCAAATGAAATAAAAAAAAATCTGCTGAGGACAAAGAAAGGTAGCTGTATAGATATTATATCCTTCAACTTCAGTACTGTGCATTGATTCAGAATTTCAGAACTTTTTTGTAAGACTGCAATTTATGTTTAGAACATGCATAAAATATATGTAGACATTACGTATCTGTTAAACATGTTACAACCTGGCTGTGAGATGTCAGGAACTATCAATGAGAAAGGAACATGGGTCATTATACTTGTAGTAATGTTGTGTTGGGACTGCTTCCAAGGCTAGCACAAGGTAGTGGTCAGAAAAATAGTATCACTGTTGATAAACTTGGAAAGAGTGTAAAATGCAAACAGGACAGTCCCACTAAGTTATGTCGTTTGCTTTGTCAACTCTATTTGTATTGAAAGAAAACATGCTTTAATGCAGTCATATATGTAATGGTAGATAGAAAAATGTAAAGGAATGGTAAAAAGAATATTGACCTTACTTCAAAATTTTGAGCTGTTCAAGTGTTCCAAAAAGGAAAGTTAATTTTGATTAAGTATCTGTAAAAATAACGGGCTGTGAAAGGTTCTTCAGTGAAACAGCAATTTTAAAAATGTTTGTGAATGGTTAGAAGAAAAGTTAATTGAGAAAATTATGTTAATGTTTGAGAAAATTATATAAATTATACTTCTTTTTTAGACAGTAGCTGTTCAATGTAGTGGTTATTCAAATAATCACTGGATTTTCTATATCAAGATTTTCTACTTCTATTATCTTTCTGCAGTTAGGGTTGGTTTCAAATCAGAGATGCCTGTACAAAATGTTTGGGTTTGTACAGTCCAGTTTTTCTGTCCTAGTGTTAAGGTTTGTGAATTCTTGGAAGAAGATGTGGAGCTCATATTTGCACATGGAATTGTAAGATTTATTGATCTGTATCCTGAAGTCTGGTTTGTTTGCTATAATTCTAAGAGGAATTAGTAACCAGAAGTGGACACCCTCCTGAATGATTTAATGTTCCCTACAACTAGGAGGGACCATGAAAATCTGTAAATATGTGACTTCAGAATAATAATTTTGAAAACCTTCATTTGAACATCAATCCTTACATTGTTTCTTAGAAAAATATGCCTTGCTGTAACTACTTCAGTATGTTTCGAAGTGTTGGAAATCCTAAAGTGGAAGAAAAACTTCTGACTTTGGTTCTGTAAGAAAGGTCTTACACTGTGGTTGACAAGTTGAAAGTCCATGCTGCTTCCTGGAAGGGTTTTGCTATTCCAAGATTATATAAGTGTGGCCTGTTCCATTCTTGTAGGTGAGGAGGGATTTGTGTGTTACCATGCTATGAAACTATGTTTAGGTGAGCAGACGTGTTTGTGTACTGGGTCTGAGAGATCCTCGGTGAGCTGGTCAGGTTCCATGGACAGAGGCTCCTTGAGGCTCTGCTGATCCGTGTGGCAAAGCTGTGCCAGGGAGGGGCTGGTTGGCCTGCAAGAGTTTATTACATATTGCTCAGCATAGAAGATACAGGTACCAAAGTGCCTCACCTGTTTGCTGTCTGAGAGGTCTCCTCACAGCAGCCACACTTTACTCTATTCTATGCTCTGGTATTGATCTTCCTGAAAATGGAATTGGTTTTATCCCTCTTATACTTCTGTCTGCAGAACCGTCTCCTTCCTGGAAACTCATATTGGCGAGTCAATTGCATGATAGTAAAGAAACACATTTAAAACTTTTGTGTTTGGTAATTACATCCAAATTTGTCTTAGGTATTTTTGTATTTATCCAAAAAATACAATCTTTTGGTACATATGCTCAGAAGAGGGCTCTTGGGTGCATGTCTGGAACATTCTTTATGGAAGGGTCTGCCGGCTGTTACAGTGGCCAGGAAAGTAAGCAAACTTCACATCTGCACAGCTGGCTGTGCTCGTGGGAAGTGTTACAGGTATGCACTGCTGTGGAAGTCTAGATCCAAGTATACCCCCTAGTAGCTGGAGTTCCATCTGTATCAGTCAATGGACTTGTCTGTTACCTTCCCAAAGACTCTGCATGCAGAGAACAAGGGGTTTATACCCTGTGAATCTTTGAACATGTTGGTAGTGTTCAGCAGAACCAAACTATTATATAGGCATTCCAGAAGCTAGACCATTCCAAGTGGAAAATAGCACCGTTTTACATTGTCATTATGTCATACTATGTCTTTCTTACTTGAGTGTTGCATCGCACTTTACCAAGGCATGAACAACACACTCTGACTGCACTGGGAGGAAATAGCCAGCCCAAGTTACGTTACAGATGTAATGCTGGTTTATGTCAAACATCATGCATAAAATGTTGCAGTAGGTACCAGTGTCAAATTCAGGACAGATGGCAGTGAATGTTTGCTTCACAAATGCAAGCTATTATTTTCACTGTAGCAACCGTGGAAGATTCTGCTTGTCAGTCAGTTATGTGGGATCCATGCAGTCACATATTGGAAGGAAAATGATTGCTTAACCTTACATTGTCTGTGATTGTTCAGAATGCATTGTCACATCGGAATTCATGACATGTCCTGCTTTCTGGCTTTAATGGGGATTTTCAAATGCAGGAAGTTTAAGTTAGTTGTATCTGGTGTTGAAGTATGGAGAGATGTGTGTGATCCAGAGAAACACTTGAGTTAAAACTCTTGTGATGTTTTTCATGAAGTATTGGCACACTGAGATCCATTCTGAAATGTAATTTTGGAAAACTATTACCATTTTTTTTTAATTTCTGAAAAAATATCAAAACTTCTAAGTGTTTGTATTTCTTCTTTCCAGGAACATTGTTTTAACTATTAAAAGGCATAATGCAGAATCCTTTAACTTTTTCTGCAGGTATAGTATACTTTCTATGCTTTTTCTATGCTTTTTTTGATAAATTAAATGCTTGTGATTCAAAATGTGGAATAAATATAATAATAATTACTAAGTTGTTCTACCCTAATCTGTTTGATCTTTTTTTTTTAATGAGCCATTATACTGCAGCATTTATCACTCTAAACAATTCCAATAGCTAAGATTGTGTTCTTCAGGACATTGTTAATTACTGTAACCACCTATAATTGAAAACTGGATATATATGAATCTGCTTCTTGTTTGACTCAGCAGAATTAAGTGTTTGGGGTTTATTGCATTTTTTTTAATCCTCCTGGATTTAAAAACCATTGTCATGAAAATCTATTTGCAAATTATGTTACAAGGCTAGCACAAACAAGATAAAAAATATTTTCTAAATATAAACTTAGATTTTAGATTTTAAGTGCCTTTTCTCCAGCATTCCTATCCTTACTAACATTTTTTTGTGTTTAACTTTATTTCTTCTCTGTTTTGTCTATTCAAAAGTCATCTTTTATTAATACAGTTTTCAGTAGGGTTGGTGTCTTGATTTTTCCCCCTTTATATTAGTAAGGATTTTTGTGCCACAACTACATATTCCCAAGCCTCTAAATGTGCAACTAGTAACTTTAATTTCCTTTCTCTTTGGATCTGTGACACAATGCTAATGTTTAAATAGGATTTTTAACTTGAATGTCATCTTTAATGATATTTCTTAAATGTGAGTTAATGGTTGATGGGTATGACATGAGCTCTAATGGACCTTTCAGAACCCTTGCAGGTTGTCAGTTGTTTCCATTATTAGTAGTTAAGTTAATTAAGAAAAGCACAATATCTTACTTAACTTGAAGCCTTGAGCTTTTACTGTTGTGTAAGTTTATACTTGACCTGTTTTGTGAAGACTGAGTATTTTAATGATACTGTAACAATTCTGAAGAAGCTGTTAAATGTTAAAGCCATTTCTGAGTAAGAGGAGGAGAACATAAGACTGTGAAGCTGCTTGGAAACTTGAAACTGATTAAATGCTTTTTCATTTTTTTGAAGGCTTTTTTTTTTCCTAAACAAAAATCCATTTCAGTCAACATCCTGTTGACAACTTGCACACAGAGTAAATTATAAGAGCCATGCTATAAACTTTGGAAGTGAGGGTTCATGTTAGAAATCACAACCAGATCCTGGTCAAGAGCTTTTTCAGTGTGAAATCATGATGCTCTACAAATACACCAGTCTGAGGAGTCTTTTTGTATTTTTTTACTATCATTCTTTCTTTTCTTCATATCAAGCATCACTTTTGTTTTTTAAGTGTATTGTGGCATTTTGAAAATGTTGAGGCTGTTAACAATTTAGAATGATTTACATGCAACAATAACATTGGTACATTTCTTAAAAATAAAAAGGTTTGAAAGTAAATGATATTGGAAGCAGGACCATCAGTTATATTCAGTGTAGTATTTTTGTCAGTCTTTCTATACTTTGAAAGTGCTTGTTATTTTTCAGTTGAGTGTGGAAGTAATGGTTAGTGCAAGTTCTTTGAGTGAGAGCATAAACCTTTCACTGCTATCATTTGTGAAGTAATAGCAGGAGTTTTGTAATTTCATATGTAATCCTTCAGGGTGTCTGTATTTTTCTCCACTTAAAGTACTTTATAAGAAAGGTGATTATCATTTATATAACAAGCAATTGTAACTCCATGTTCAAACAGATGCACTTTTCTGAAAAAATGATAAATATTTTAACTGCGAGGATTTAAATTTTTTCCTAGGAAAGTGCTCCATAGTGATATAAAATACCACTGGGCCTTAGAGAACTGAAATACCTTTGGCATTGACGGATTTATGAAATGTTTTTATTAAATGATGCTCGCACTAAATAATTGTGTATGTTACACAGTTATGCAAAATATAATCCGTCCTGGTTTATCTGGAAATTTATTTAATATTTTTTTGTCTTTTTAAAAATATACAATGGAAATGTATATCGCAGGCTGAAATTATAGTTTTGCTCTTTGGGCTTGTTTATTTTTTTAATTTTTTTTGTAAATCATAGGGTTTTTTACAAAGTTATTGTATAGTTTATTACATTTTTTATCCATGTTAGTATGGTCATTTGGTGCTGGGAGATCTCAGACTTCAATTAGCCATGTAAATGTGTTTCTTAGCATCAGCTCTCACTTTGCTGGAACCCCTGCTGCCTTTATATCATTAACATAAATGCAGGTGCAAATAGCATTTATGTACTTTGATAGAAAGCAGTTGGAGACATTTCACTGTGGGACATGACACTTTCAGATTGTGTACATCTGTTCGAATAATGTATCCAAGCCAGTGACATGAATGCAAGGATAAAAACATCTGCCCCTGAGACCATTTGGCATACAGCAGATGCTTACATCTTTATTTATGCAGATGGTTTGTGTGATGAGCTGAGCAATGATGAAAGCAAGAAAGTTTGACAAAGATTTCAGGGCATTGCTTGGGATGGGAAAGTATGTTATGTTGGTAATAGGGCTTCATTTTCAGATGTCCACCAAAAGAAGAACATCTGTTGTAAATACTGATGTTTTTAGTAATAGGAACCTGTTGTTTGGGACATTAACCATATTAAGACAGAATCAGTAATGGATTTAAAAAAACCACAACAACAAAACAAAAAACTATCTTGCACAGAAGTTGTGCTGCAGCTATAGGGTACTAAATGGTTTCATAGAAGTAATCACTTTTAACAGGAAGGCCTAACTGCTTTGCTTCAGGATGTTCCCAAGTATATACAGAACATGGAATTGACCGAAAAGTTTGCAAAGGTAGAACATGTTAAAATACTAAGATGTTCAGTTGTCTGGAGGTTGCATGTGGTGCTGCAGAAGATTGCACCACCTCGGGGGGTTCCGACAGAAGCCGTATTCAGTGATACAGAATTACGAGATAGAGAGTTTAACCTTCCTGTTGTGTGGAAATGACTGCAGGGTAGTCGAGTTGAATGGCACGTCCAACGTGAGCTGGCGTTGCAGGACGTGTCCCGGGGTGGCCGGAGGCAGCGGGGACGGGCGCCCGACTCCCCCTGCTGGACCCTGCGCCAAGGGGCTCCTTTGTCTGCCCGCCCATGCCGGAGCCACGGGAATCTCATTGGAAATGGACCCATATTTCTGCAGGCAGCAAGCGAAGGCTGTCGTCTGCGGCCTCCATCCCTGCTGACTGCGTTCCCGGTTTCATGCCCTCGTACGCTGGCATCCAGTCCGAGTGAATGATGGTGCGTTATCCCTTAGCAGCAGCGAATTCATTCAGGTCCTTTGCAGCACGTCCAGTACCTTCCTTTGAGAAGCAGTGCTGCCTTCAGACGGTGCAGTGGCAGCATGGGCAAGCTCAGCCATGCCAGCAGGCATTGCAGATAATTACAGTTATGCTCAGGGGGAGGAAGAACATTCAGATACTGTAATTTAAATTGTTTTCTGCTACATCCTACTGCCAGAAAATCTGAGTTGTGTCAGGGGCAATTAATAATTTTATATGTTCCAAAAACTGATGCCTTCCTAGCCAGGACAATAGTCTTTCTCAGTTGTTTTTCAACTTATGCTATTCAGGGTTGTGTCTGTCTTTGAAAACATTATTATCTCTATTTGCAATTACTGTGGAAATTCTCTAATCTTTATTTTTGTTTTCATCCTTAATGGAATCATCTACAGGTTGCAAGGTTTTGTTGTCAGGCAGAGCTGCAGAGTGTTTTTCTGAAGAAATTTGGGTCATGAAGAAAGAAAAGGGGGGACAGCTAGAGGAAGCAAAACCTTGGATAGAGAGTCTCCATTCAAAAGTTAGATGACTTAGGTAATTTTAAAGAGAAATGAGCTATTTTTAAAAAATCCCTCAGAAAAAAATCTCTGTCATCTAAGTTTAACCATATGTTCTGTGTTCTGGCCCTTTCTTTGAGGAGAGATGAATGCTGTGTATAGTTTATTCTACAAGACTCAAAATAGGCCAGGCCAAGACTGCAAATCTGCTGATCCTCTGTTCATCTTTAACAAGGCAGCACATTCTGATGTTTGTACTACAGAAGTCACAATGCAGATGCTCAAGCAAAATATATTTGCTCTCTTGAGTAAAAACTGGTGATTTATTTGTTTTCTCTTCCATATAGACTCTCTTCAGAAAAAAGTGCTCTGATTTAAAAGAAAAAAAAAGTTATACTCTGTGAAAGGAATTACAGTTTTTCTATTCTGTACTCTCTATTTGAACATTAGTGATTGCAAAAAAAAAAATAAATAAAATTGGGGGGGAGTAAGAAGCATAATTCCTTTACTGCAATCAGATGTACTTATTTTCTGTCCCATGGAGGGAAGTGAGGAGGGTTGAACTCTTAGTTCTCAGATTCTCTTCTCATTTCATTTGAAAGGGAACCAAGAGCCTATTCAGAAAATACATAATGATTTATTAATAATATGGTTCTACTTGACCTTTTGTGTGCTGCATAGTTTCTGAAGAATTCTGCCTTTGTTTTTGTTGCAGACTTGGTCATTATTTTTTCCTGCACTTAAGGAAAAAATAAGTCTATTAGTTACCACTTACATTAGCCATATGAAGATTTTGTCTAGGTTGAATTGATCTTGATAGTCCTTAAAAAAGGACTTTACATCAGCATTGGCTTTATAGTGAATTAATTACTGTTTAGGTCCATATCCTCCTTGAAGCTCACTAAAAGAAATTTCGACTGCCAGTTCTCCTAAAAAATAATTTTTAATAATCCAATTACAACCTTTTCTTTTGACTCTGCTGTTTATTCCCACCTTCTAAAGTACCTAGATTTGCAATGCCATTGAAGGTTTATGAATTACAAGTTTATGATCAGTGCTTCCATCACTTCCTTTCATCTGTTTTCTGAACAATTAGTTCCCCCATGTGGCTGTGTCACTGAAGCCTTTGCAAATCCACAGGGGTTGTATCCTATGGATCACAATGATTGGGCAAAATTGACAAAGATAATGCCTTGTCTTACTGCTATAGGCCCTGGTAAAAAGTCTGTCCCCATCTTTCTTACAAGTCCCCTTTAATTATTGAAAGGTTGCAGTAAGATCTCCCAAGCTGTCTTTTCTCTATGCTGAACAACCTCCACACTCTCTCAGCCTTTCATAGTAGGAGAGATGCTCCATCCCTCTGATCATTTTTGTGGCCCTCCTCAAGACCCACTCCAACAGGTCCATGTCTTTTCTGTACTGAGGGCTCCAGAGCTGAACATAGTACTTCAGGTAGGGTCTCACCAGGGTAGAGTATAGCAGCAGGATTATCTCTTAACCTGATGGCTGCACTTGTTCTGATGCAACCCAGGATACATTTTACTTTTGGTCTGCACATTGCTGTCTCTTGTCCAGCTTTTCATCCACCAGTAACCCCAAGTCCTTCTCTGCAGGGTTGCTCTCAATCCCTTCATCTCCCAGCCTGTATTGTTGCCAGGAGTACCTTGCACTTGCCCTAGCTGAACCTCATGAGGTTTCTCATGGGCCCACTTCTCAAGCTTGCCCATGTCTCTCTGGATGGCTTCCCATCCCTCAAGCATCTCAGCCACACCACTCACCTTGGTGTCATCTGCAGACTTGCTGAGGATGCACATGATCCCACAGTCTGTGTCATTGATGAAGGTTTTAAACAGTACTGGTCCCAGTACAGACCCCTGAGGGACCCTGCTTGTCACTGATCTGAATCTGAATGTTGAACCATTGACCACTATTCTTTGGGTGTAACCATCCAGCAAATGCCTTATCCACCAGACAGTCCACCTGTCAAATCCGTTTCTCTCCAGTTCAGAGAGAAGGATATTACTGGGAACCATGTCAGAGGTCTTACAGAAGTCCAGATAGATGACACTGTGATAATGAAGGAACACCTGTTTGTACTTTCAAACAACAGAGGAAAGCAATTCTGGAAATTGAGAAGTAGAGTTACCTAGTAGTAGAGATTATTCCTATTTTTTTTCCTCCTTTTTCCATTTTTCTGTCTTTGGAGACTTTTTTTGGGGGGGTTGTTTTTTTGTTTGTTTGGTGGTGTTTGACATGTATCAGTATATGGTTGATAGTGGAATGAGGGTGTTTTAGGGGAAAAAAAAAAAAAAGTCTGTATAAGACAGGAAACAGAAGAACTTCCCTAATATGAACTATGTACCCATGATCATTGATTACACTGTGAGTTACCTCTCAAAAATTACTGTTTATGCCAAAAATAGTTTTAGCTTATTTTCACATTGAAAAAAGTTGCTAGAAATGTTAAGTGTGAACATCTGCTTTAATAGAGTGCAGTTAATGTAAAAAAACCACCATTTTTTTTTCCTGTAACTTTGTTGTTGTAATGGTGTCTTCTGCTAAGAAGAATCTTTTGGTGGTGATGTAAGGAATCCAGGGAGTATTCCACTGCTCACAGAATTTCTTGAAATGAAGTATAATCCTACTCCCTGAAGACAATAAACTTGGACAGACTCTAAAGCAAAGATGACCTTTCTAAATGATACGATGCTTAATACCCAACTAGGAAATCACATTGATGCTCAAATCGGAATTAATTAAATATAGGTTTAAAGAGGTGTAATATTCCCTTTTACACTTTTAATGAACTATGTTTATCTTGTTCCTTCTGTAGTGTACCAGAACATGTTTTCTAAGTGTATTTGTGCATCCTGTGTCTTAGTTTTTGGGTGAATGATTTACTGAGATTTCCTAGTCTTGCATTAGAATGCTTCATTATAAAGTTCCTTTTTCTAGTCAATTTAGATGGCATAAAAGAACTCCTATGTAGACATAATTAAGTTATTATTTAAAAAATAAAGGACTAAAAAGTAAGAAATGCAAGATATGAGGTGATCCCTGTGGCTGTAAATGCTTCTCTTTTCTGTATCACATATAATAGTAATGTTCGTTACCCCATCTTAAGTTTAATTTCCACATCCCACCCTGAATCTTTGGCCTAGATACTTTCCAAGTCTTGTTTCTACTTCTCTTGCCCTTTTCCTGCTTGCCCTATATATATTCTAGTTTGTCTTCCCCACTGTCAGCTCAGCTGTTAACAAGATAAGGAGAGGCCATTTCCTTGTTCCATCTAGGGTGTTTGGACCTAAAGCTATAGTTCTAGGAAAAATCCAGCCCTACCTGAAGCAGGGGCACATTCAATTGAATGTAATAATTGGAAAAATTAGCTGCTTAAAGTGTCTGTTGAGTACAATGCCAAGAATTTACAACTTTGCCAAATTTGGGCAGCTTTTCAAAGACAGAAAAGACATTGCTGTATCGAATATCAAAGTCTTCAGCTAATGCACAGATGTTTTACTAGATTTTTAAGGTGGTTTTTTTTAAAGGCAAAGATAGAAACAACTGCAAATTAATTGTTATAATGTACAGCATTGGGCACTCCTGGCCTATAGGCTTTATTACCAACCTTTGTGTAGATGTGTGGCCTAGTTTTGAACATGGAGGACCAAATTAATATCTGCAGTTCCACTGATTTATGTGGGATTACAGAAAGTATAAATCAACATAAAATTTAGCACCTATATTTAAAGTCTCACTTATGCTACTGAACCTTCATGTTTCTGAGTGTTTTGTTCTGGTGCTGTTGACTCTCTGCCATGACACTGGAGCTAAAGCATCCCATCTGTTTACCACCTTAACCAGCTTTACTTAATTATTAAGCCATTTGCTGTGTAATATATTTGATTTTAAAACGTTTTTTGGAAAGAGAAAAATGGCAAAGAGCAAGAAGCAATAGCTTTCTCAATACACTACCTAGACGTTAGTCTTTTATATTACTGTTTTATATTGTCTTTTTCTGGTTTTTGGTGGGTTTGGGGGTTGCTTGGGTTTTTTTTTTTGTCCTGGGATCTATTTATAACTGACTGAAGCACTTTTGCAGGTGGTGTTTTTTTGCATGCTAGTCCTGCAGAGAATCATTGTGTCCAACAAAATATGCTGGGTCAGCAAAGCCAAGAAACTTGTGCTGGAAAGACAGTATCCACAGGTATTAAGTGTGTATGGAGATTTGGCAAAATGAATGGTTAACTGTAACTGACAGAAATAAATCTAGTTTTGTCTACTAGAAAGCCTTGCATTTTTTTCTTTCCCACGGAACAGATATATTCTTCCTTCCAAAGTCAGCAAAAGGCTCTGCAATGTAAACCTGCATTTAATAAAATTTTTCATTAATCTTTTTTGTCTATATTCTGCCTTTAGCTTCAAAACAAGATGATCCCTTTTTTGTGTTATTTTCTGCCATTTGTGCAGTCATATATTAAATATATACCTACACAAGTGAAGTGGGTCTTACAAGGATTATTTTAAAAATTAACACAGTGGTTTCTAGAATTGTAATGGTTTAGGTGAGATTAGTGGGGAAAATGAAATTTCTTCTGATGCTTTCTGCAGTGTCTGAGTTCACTGATGTTAAATGTTTACACAGAGAAGAAACTGAAGGAAGTACAAAAAGAAGGCAGAACAGACTGGAGTAGACTAGGCTTGAATGACTTAGGAAGGAAAAGGAGCTATGAATGAGCAGCAGCCCCAAGGAAGACTGTTAATCCTCCAGAGGACTCTTTCCAGCAAGGCTGTATTAGAGATTTTGATGCATCATTGATTTTCTTATTGGTGAATCACTGTTCAGTCCTATACAATTTTAAGGTTATTTAGAAGGAGTGAAAGCTTATGACATCCTGCAAGTTTCAGTGTGGTTTGGTACTTGCAGGTCCTAGTGTGGTAACCATTAATCTTTTAACAGAAACTTTTAAAGTAAATGGATTGAATTGCATTTAATATAACCTTGTGCTTAATTGTTGAAAAGTGTCTACCTGTTGCCCCACCTCCATGCCTATTTGAAAGACTAATAACACAGCAGTTAAAAATGTCATGTTATTCAGATAATAAATCTAATGTTTTCATTCATTTCCTTTATTCCTAATTAAAATTCTAGAGAAAGCATCAAAACTGTTGTGTTCCAGTGAAGGACCTTTAGACTGACCTGTGGACCAATGTTGTCGAAAAGCAAGGGCCATCTTCAAAACTGCCATTGCAGACGTTCCCTTAACTGAAAAGTCTCCTTCTCAGATGCAAGACTTCATGGGTTTCTATAGGATTGGAAGCTTTCCCTCAGGTCACAACTGACAAGTCAAAATTAGTGCTTAGAATCAGAGACAAAAAAAAATTGGAAGATGGTGTACTAGAAAGGGAATGTCCCTGAAAGATACATATTAAATTTCCAGGTGCCTTCTGGTACAGTGACAGCCAGAGTATATATTAAAAGTTCAGAAATTGTTGAAGCTTTTTGCCGAGCATAAATAGGAAAAAGTAGGTGGGGTCAGTAGGACCTTTGGTCTGCAAATGGACTGATTGCTTTTCCTGACCCAGTGTCTTCAAACAGTTTTTCAAATTAACTGTACCAGTCCACAAGCAAAATCTTAACCAAGCCTGAAGGATTATTGGACAGCTAGTCTGCACCTAGCCTGTCTCTATATTTAGGCCCTGGCTAAGCTGCTTAGCTGCAGCAGCTGTGTTGGATAAGGGAGAAACACAGAGCTGAGGATCCTTTACTTGCCAGAGGCACTGCAATTAGTATTTCTGCACTAAACCATCTCTAGTAAAGTTGGCCAAAAGACAACCCCACAGTTGTGCTGTGGGTTACTGGCTGGTACCAAACATGGGGTGCCTGGGAGATGTATTTGTGATAAAATTGCACTAGTCAAAAAAGAGCATTTGTATAAAAATCCCTTCTCAAACAGAGATATTTATGCTTAGCCTTGCATTAAATGCCTAAGAAGAATGTTGGTCTAAACAGATCTTGTTTCGAAGAGCATTTTGTAGTTGATAATTCATTAAGGTCTTGGCTTCCAGAATGTACAGTGGAAGTCTGTTGAAAGACTTTATTTAAATAAAAGTGATTTTACTGCCTAAATTTGCAATAGGCAAGTTGAATGTATGAGAACCATATGCTTATTTGTAAAGCTAGTGCAATGCAGTATTTCTACCAATACTTCCTTCTGACCTCAAACTAAACATTTCTCTGTAGTGCTTTGATTGCTGTTTTTGCATCTCTGTAGAGCTGGTTTGTCCACAGCAAAACTTCATCCTTTCCTGAACTCATGTATTTGCTCCCATTAGTTGAAGAACGGGTGTCTTGTAACTTGGAGTGTCAAGGAGCACAGGGAGCTGTCTCCTGAAGTGCTGCCTTTCCTGAAAAGTTCATGGAAACCAATGAATGACATAACTGAAATAAAAAGGGAGAGGTGCAAGCCAAACGTGAAGAGAGAATGGAAACTGCCTCATGTCAAATATTGTGGCAAGATGAATAACTGCTGATTTGGAATAAATCCTTAATGTCAGTATATAGCAAGGATAATCTGGAAAATAAAAGCAGACTCTGTCCCCTGAAATAAAAATACTTTTTTTTTTTTTTTTTTTAAATGTCATCTACTTTATTTAAACTGTATAATTTGACCTGTAACTAGCATTGAAGTTCAGGGCTAGTTTAATTATGACAGTATTTTACATCATTTTATTGTGCTTCTTCTCAGAAGCTCTTAAATTGTTTCCTCAAAGGCAGCAATGGGAAGATACCCTGCAGGAAACAAAAGATAATTTCAGTATTGTTAACAGTCTTAGCAGTTGAAAAGGTAAAGGTTTCTATATATTTAGTGGTTGTAGATTGCCAAAAAATATTCTTACATTCTTATTGAGTCATGGTACCTGCTGTTAGCTTTTGGAGAATAGAAGGGGCTGCAGGGAAATTTTAAAGTTACTACATTTCTGGTTTTTCCAGGTTGCACAAAGTTGTAGGCCTAGACTCATCCCTTTGTATAGTGATCTTTATTTTGGGGCAGGATTTCCATATGTGTGATAGTCCACCTTGCACAGACCTAGAAATTCTGGACATTTCTACAGATGTTGAGCAGAAATAAAGTTATGGTGGTGCCCAGCAATTTACCTTAATTGGGGGATCAGGAAGGTCCGTAATAGATTTGTGTTTGATGCTGTAGACAGCAATAAAATGATGAAAGTTTTATGCCCTGCATAGTTGCTCTATGAACCTGCTGTGGGAAAAAGAATTTTGATAAACACCAGACCTGCTGTATATGAACTGTACCATTTATATGTGATTGCTCTGTGAATCTGGCGTGTCCTGAAGGCAGTAGATGCGCTGCAAATGTGCATACCATGAGTATGCACACACATCTGTCCAGGAGTTCTGGTCATTAAATGCAATAGCTCTGCAACTTACCCTGTATGTGGCAAAGTTTGTAATGTCTGAAGAAGAGCATCCAGAATTAAAATAAGCTTACTAGAGTTTCTTCCAGTTTCGGTAGTAATTCACAGATACCTTTTTAAGACCATAATCATGTATAAATGACTTTGAAATGCGAGACTTTAAAATTATAAGGAATTCAATCCTCCCTATGGAATTACCTTACTGCAATATTTCAAGATCCCAGCATTTATTTTTTTGCATATTCTGTTGAAACATGATTTCTCCATAAAAATTACTTTTTCTTACATTTTTGCCTTTCCAAATTGTCCTTCTTGGGATATTTGTAGTTGAATTTTCAGTGATTGACATTGTTTGGAAATTATTGTTTTCTTCAGAAAACCTACGCCAGTTTTTGAGAACTGGAAGCATCAGTAGTTGAATTTGAGAGTGGATAATAGGGCTGTTGTAAGACATGGAAGTAGTAAAATTAATTCTGTATAAAATCCTTTTCATAGAGTGTCTGAAAGATCAGCATACCTCTCTACTCCTCAATGGAGATTGTATCCTACACATTTTACCTTTTTCCTTTTATTTGTTGTACTTAATTATCCTCACATTCTTCTTCGCTAAAAATGGTTACGGTACTTACGAACACAAGCCGGAAGGAATTGTGATATAACCTTAATAAATTTCATCTTTCAAGAAAATACTTGAATAACTTACTATAGAAGTTCTGTTGTGCATTAAAGGCACACAAGCCATGTGTGTGATGGGGTATTTAACAATGGTACATCTTCTCTCGACTCTTTGATTTTATGACACATTATTTGCATGTTTGTTAGCAGTGATTTTTAAAGACTTCATCAGGTAAGCTTTGGTCTGTGTCTGATAAACCTCACAAATTCTAAAATTCTGATGTTAAGGAAACTCTGAAAGCTGGTATGTCTCTGGTTGGGAGATATGATCAGAGCAGGTGCTCAGAAAAGTTCTGCGTCGTGAAGTTTAAATCCTGTCCCTGTTTGTTCTTCCAACTGAATATTGTCAATATGCTAGTGCAGCTTTTCCAGGGCAGAAGAGGGTTTTAAGTGTATTTGTTCTAAAATTCCATATGGTTTCTGACTCAGAAGGAAACATTTGTCTAAGTTTATATTAAGAGGGGGGGTATTTTTTTGCACATCTATATTCAAGCACATTGTTTCAGGGACTATTTTTTGCCTTGTCCATGAAACTTCTGCAATTCTAAACTTAATATAGTGATCATTTAAATACCTAAATAAGTTTAATAAGTTTGTGTGTAATAGTATCCTTTGTAAGTGGTTTTATTTTCAATACAGTAATTTTTACATAAGAAATACTATACATTATATCTTTGTATGTTATTTTTACAGATAAACAAAAACCACCTGCGGATGTAATACAAGGTTTTCAGAAGAAAAGTCAGTTCAGGACCATTGCTCCAAAAATGGTACCAAAAATGTTAACATCTGGATTGGTTTCTTGTCTTCAGTCATCTTTGCCTGAGCAAAACACACCAATTTCAGCTGTGGGTTCTAAACCACTGGTGGTACCAACTCAGAACTATGCTGTCATGCAGGTGACTGGTCATGAGGGGACTTTCTCTCTGCTGGCCTTGCCATATGTTGCCCCTGCCCTAACACAGCAAGTCCAGCAGCCCAAGGTGTCCCCTTCTGAAAACCTAAAGCTGCCTATCCCCAGGTACCAGTCTGTAAAAAATAAATTGCTGAGTGACAAAAAAGCGGCACAATTCTCTGCTCTGGGTGCACATAACAAGATCCCTGCCAAAGCATCGACCTTGTCACAGACTCCCCCCATGACTACCTTAACTGAAGACTGTCCTGAAATGCATTCTAGTTCAGACTCAACTGAGCAAATGTTGCTAACAGGTTGTGACTCAGCTGAAATTACAGTTGCCACATTAGTAAATAAAAGCAATTGTGTGGAATCTGCATCTCCTTTATTGAACACAACTGAAATTGCTAACGGTAATGTTTCTGGACCATCTGTAGTAAAGGAATCTTTATCCAAGGCAGTAAGTACAGTTAATCCCATGAAACTAAATCTACATTCTGTGAAGACAACATCTGAAACCACAAGAGAGTCATTCATAATGTCTGAGAAACTAAAGCAAAAACGCACAAATTTTGCAAATTCTGTTGCTGTCCTGTCACCAGCAGTTTTTGGCAGTAAAATTCAAATGACTCCGTCAGCACCAAAAGGAAAACTTCCTATTTTGCCTTACTCAAGGATGAAAAATACAGTGTTCTGTGAATCTAAGCAGAATACTAGTGTTTCAGATGTATCTGGTCCTTCACTAAGATCTGAGTGTGAGAAGATACGACCTTTGGCAAAAACCTCTCATGTTCCTACTGAAGCCTCTGAGAAGCCATTAGCTGTATCGTTTACACAACTCCCCAGACAAACCACTCGAGAAAATACCTTCTCTCCCTCCAATAAAGTGGATGTTGACAGTCTTAAAAAATTGAACGGTGCTGCCACTAAAAGAAGAAGCAGGAGAAGAAGAGGCCCAGATGATTTATTAGCTTTTCAGACCAAGCGAAAGAAATGCATCATTAATAAGATCAGAGAAGGAAGAGAGAGGGCGAAAGCTGATCTGCAGCCACATGAAGACAAAAATGCAGAAACTGTGAAAAAATACCGTAGTATTAGACCAAAACCAGTGGTAGTTGTGCAGGCTTTTGCACCACTGACTTCTGCAGCAATAGTAGGGACACCATCTCCTGGCCATTTAGACCAAGATATTCTTCTAAATAGTTCACTTCCCAACAGATGTTTAAGTTACAAGCCTAGTGATGCTACATCAGCTAAATCAAGTGATTTAAATAGAAATGCTTGTTCAACCGCACCTAAGCTGTCACATAAATGTCATGTTTGTAACCACATCTTCCAGTTCAAGCACCATCTCCAGGACCACATGAACACGCACACGAAGAGGCGGCCGTACAGCTGCCGGGTTTGCCGCAAGGCCTACATCCACTCGGGGAGCCTGAGCACCCACATGAAGCTTCACCACAATGAAGGCAAACCCAAAAAACTTGTGTGCTGTGAATTCTGTGCTAAGGTTTTTGGCCATGCAAAAGTGTATTTTGGTCACCTAAGAGAAGTGCACAGGGTTGTTATCAGCACAGAGTCCTCTACTAGCGAGCAACAGCTGCAAGATGCATTGAAGAGGAGAGACACAAATATAAAAGAAACAGAAGAAGCAATGGAGAGGTGAGTGTTTTAACTACAATCAGTGAATGCTGATGAAAACAAGATTTTAGGTTGCCTGTGGAAGTTTATAAACGTGACTGTTATGAAAATTGTTGCTTTTTCCTCATCTTTTTTGCCCTCAAAGAGAGATTCCTAGTGAGCTGGAAAGCTTGGGAGGTCTTTTCATCAGAGAAGATAGTGACAGGACAAGGAGTAACAGTTTTAAACAGAGAGGGAAGATTTAGGTTAAATATTACAAAGAAATTCTTCACTAATGGTGGTGAGGAACTGGAATGGGCTGCCCAGGGAGGTTGTTGATGATCCATCCCTGGAGGTTTTTAAGGGCCGGTTGGACGAGGTTTCGTGCGACCTGGTCTAGTGGTGGGGTTCCCTGCTTATGGCAGGGGGGTTGGAACTTGATGATCTTTAAGGTCCCTTCCAACCTTAATGATTCTATGATTTAAATATTTTGCTAAGGAGTTTAGTCAATCCACTAGACTAACTGGTATGTTTTAGCTGCCTTCTTAAATACAAATTTTTACTGATACTTGAATATCCAAAGTAATTTTGCATACATTCTAATAATACTCAATAAGCTGCCAGCAGAGCTGTTTTCATTGGTTGATTTCCCACAACTAATGCTTTTGCTGTTAATCTGCACAGTCTTCTGTATTCTGCCCATTTTGGGTTTTCCCTAGAAGGTAAGTGAACCAGGTGCAGTAAGTGCAAGGCAATTCATATTTCCGTATTAGCTTGTAGTTTGTTTGCCCTATTAAATATCATTATCCCACTGCCTTCTCTGGAGTGATGTGAGCTCATCTGTCCTGTGTGTTGGTTACTGCTGCTCTCGTGATCACTTAGCCAGGTAGGAAAGTTAACATTTACCAAAATAAGAGGGACAGAATATTCTTTTTACTCTGCATTATGATTTTGGGTTTAAATTTCTTGACCCAATGTAGAAGTTGGCTTTTCTGTTTGTACACCTGTGGATTTACTTTCATTGAAGTTCACTGTAATAAGCCCAGGGCTTTAACCTGGTGCCACATTACGACACTGCTGTTCAGTTCTACACCTTTCATTTTGTGTAGCTCTACCCTCTGAGGCATCAGTTAGAAATTTTGATGGTATTGAATCTAAGAAACACCAGTGCTTTTCTTTCAGCCTTACTAGTCTTGGTATAATTAATAATTTAGTTTATCTGTTTTGTTGGGTGATATATCTAACCTGTATAAACACACAATATTACCTGATCCTTTTCATAGGCGCTGTGTGAAGTTTTCCATGGAGGTTTTCTGTTGATTGACTTAAACCAGGGGCTTGCTAGTTCTGCATCTGTTTCTTTTGTGCTGCAGAGTTGTCCTTAATCAATGAGAGAGGCTGTCCCATTGTAAATTAGACATTCAAACTATTTAAAACCATGTTCCAAACTCTTAGGAACAGAAATAAAACAACTTTGAAGTTTCATTGTTTCCATCTTGAAGAGGGAGGTGGGATATGTGGTTTTGCCTTAAATTGATCTTAGATGACTCAGTGTAAACAAGTTTCTTTTAGCAGTGTATTACACAGTATTCATTTTCACTTTTCTAGCACAGAGCTTGAAGTATTTGGATTGACCTCACTAAATCAGGAACTTAAAAAATCATTATTAACCTTTTATAAAAGGGTTAGTGGTTTTAAAATATTATTTCTACCAAGGCTAAATTTGGAGGCAATTCTTAAACTCAGCAGTGTTGAATAACATTTGGTTTTACTTGTTTCCTAATCAGCCTTAATATTATTTTATTTCTCTTTTTTTCCTGTTCCAGGTAACTTAGATACTGTAGCAACAGGGCCTGCTTTTAATTAAAAGAATGTTTCATGAATGTCATCTCTTCTTGGAACTTAGAAGGACAGAAATTACCATCTCTATTCCCTGCATGGTTAATACTGAAATAGTTCATATTTCTTTTTATTTTTAACAGGGGAAATAAGTGCAATTTTGAGGACCTGTTCCATAACCCAGGAGAAGTGAAATTACAGATCAAATGTGGTCGATGCCAATTTATTGCACAGTCTTTTGGGGAAATGAAGTTCCACTTACTGTGCTCTCATGGAGAAGAGATCCAGGGAAGAGTAAAGGAAGAGGCTTTGCAAGGAAATAGAGGAACTAAGGAGGGGAAGATCAAACATGCAGCCCACTTCTGGAAACAGCGCAGCGAGAGAAAACATCTAGCAAAATGCAGTGCCCATGAGGAGAAGTTTTATACTCTTCCAAAACTGAAAAGACAGATGTACTTTTACCATCAAAATAATGTTGATATGTTACCTAAAAGTGAACTGGCTCAGTCAGGAAGTGGCCAAGCAGGCAAGGAGATTCAAAATGTAGGTTTTGGTACATCAAGCAAAAAAATAGAAATTTGGTCTAAAGTGGGCTATAACTGCATTTTATGCAAACAGTTATTTGGAAGAAAAGAGGATCTTCATAACCATTGGCAGAGTCATCATAACTGTGAAGACCCGTCCACTTTATGGACAATTTTTAGTTTGTTATCAAAACAAGGAATTATTGACCTTTCTAATAATGGTGAATGTTGAACTCAAGTCTGCAATGCTAGGAAAAACATCAACTACCTTACCAAATTGTTTGTGGTTTTTGCTGTGTTGCTAAACTAACTCAAGAGATTTATCACTTCAGTGGTTGGTTTGGTGCATTTTTGGGGATTTTTTAAGTTATGCTAGCTTTTATTTCATTGAATAGAAAATGTATTTTTCCAGTAGCATTCCAGGAGAGTACATGCAAGCCAATCATGGAATACTGTACTTAAAATTCATGCTTAAGGAATGTAGCAGCCTGCAAATACTCAGTACTCATGGTTAACATAAAGAAAAAAGATTCTGAAATTCAGTCATACTATACACACGGAAATAAATCAGTTTATATGAAGTAATCTCTATCTTGATTGAAATGACAAACCTGACAGAAAGTGTAATTTCAGTTCCAACTGTGCTTCCAGATTTTATGGTAAATACACATTTCCATGCAGTTCATGATGAATCATTTGAATGTGCACACATGCAGCTGGCATTCAAGAGATGTATAACCTATAATTTAAGAGCTTTTAATTATTGTTTTCTTGGTTTCATTGTTTTCAAACATGTTCATTGCTTATGGGTTTGTTATTGGCAGGTCTCTGGGGTGTTACATTCTTTCCTGCTAATGGGAAGGGTCTTTGGATTTTTAAAATGAAAAATCTACATGGATAATTTTGCCTCTAGCTCTTTGGGTTGCCGACAAGTTAGTGGCCACCCATGAAGATGAAACCCTCAGAACTTCACTTTTATGAAAAAAAAAAAAAGTTTAAATAGTGTTCTGAGTTGGTTATTTCTGGGAAGTTTGACATTTTACAATAGACTGCATGTTTCACAGTGAGCTTTTGGCATATTCCTTGCACCTCCTGTGACAGCAGCACTACTGCTGCCAGCACTGTTAGCACTGTGCCTTTAAAACTCTTGGTCTACAGCTTTTGTACCTCTGCAGCTGACCCACTCTGTGGCTTTAAAGGGAAATTGTTCCTTGTCTCTGGAAGTTTGTGGAACATGTAATGAGTTTTTTTCATTTGTGTTGCCAGATTCACTCTATTAGAGGAACACCTGAAGCTTCCAGTGTCAGGAGCCTGTAACAGTTGCCTTAGCAGGCAGCCTGTGGTGCAGGAGCAGTGCAGGCTGTGTCCCCTGCTACAGAGCAGGCACCCTGAGGGACCACTGCAGCACATCACACAGGGGGCAGGTCAGTGCAGGCTGTAAAGAGATGGAGTTCTGGAGCTCAGTTTTGATGAAAAGGTCATTGAACCATTATATATAGTTTGAAGTTGGTGTTTAACTGCTTTTACTGAAAGCCTTATGTTCTTCTGAATTATTTTGGGAGCAATAAGAAGGCAGCATAAGAAGTCACTTCATCACTGTTCAACAGAAGTCAGAGCACATCAGAGGAGAGCAAACTGAAAAACATACCAACACAGGACTACTCTGTTCATTTCTTCTTGTGGTCAAACTATAACTGAGGGGTTGCTATGGTGGAATCATTCCTCAAATGTCCTGGGTGGCTTCTCACTGTTTTCCAAAAATTGTGGTGGTGAGATAATGAGAAGACATCTAAAAATGTTGGGTTTTCTGAGTGGAATTCCAGAAGATGTTGCAATATTTTGTGTGTTCATTTTGTTCTTAAACAGTAAAGACAGTTTGATGAGCTACTAGTTTTGAATGTAATTTATTGTTGTGTGGTGCTTTGCCCTGGTATTGAACTGTAAGGCTGGAGCCAAGAAAAATAGAAGACAGAAGGAAAATGCTTATAGAACTGTACAGGTGCCTGGTAAGCTGGAAGAGTCCCTGTGGATTTTCAAAACTTCCTTCCTACTATCTATTGCCATAAATACATATTTGTGGTTTCTTTGCTTTTGCATATTACTTTTATATGCTGCACTACTTTAAAAATACTAATTTTTCTTACTCTTGGGTATGTCACACCCATCTTTTAATGCCTACAATATTTTTTTTTTTCACTAGCTAAATGAAGGAGAATCTATGGCACATTTGGAAAGGGATCAAACTGATAAAATTCAACTTAGTAGAACGTGTTTGCATTTAGAAGCAGGTTTTTTTCCCAGCTTAATACTTTAGCTTTCAAAATTGAAGAGTTTGGTGTTTTCTCTGAAACAGAAAGGTGAGAACAATCGCTTCTTCACAGAGTTGTAATATATCAAAGGGAAGTTAATTCCCAGCATAAAACATGCATTTTAAAAGCTGGGAAAAGAACAACTCCATTAAAAAGGTTTGATCGTGTTCATTATTTAGAACGGACATTAAATCACCTTTCATGCGATACCACCCCTTCCTTGGTGTATTTTAAAATGAGCCCCTCTTTTTCAGAAGCAGCACCTGTGATTGGCAAAGTCGTCCTTCAAAAATGTTTTCAAAAAGTATTTGGTAAAAACAGTGTTGCCTCAGCCAGCGATGCAGATGCTTTGTTTGTGGTGATTATCAGGCAAGAAGAGTAACTCCTTTTGTTTCATGTGAAAGGAGGGGCAGTTGCAGTGATGCTGAGAGGAAGGAGGTTTGGAATGACAGAGTGGGTTGCATTATTTCTTTTTTTAATGCACATTTCCTTGTACAGTCTTTTCATTGTATTTTTGTGCATCTCTCCCTTTCTCTAGTCTAGGCCAAATGGGTAAAGGGATCTCAGCTTTCAGGAATTTGAAGCCTGAAAACATGTTTTAAAGTGTGGTCCTAAGCCACTTCTTAGTGTCCTCGTAAATGTTTAAAGTTAGAAGCCTTTTTTTCTGTGCCTGAAAGCATTCTTGTGTTTCAGGCTCTTACGATCATGGTAGATTATGAAAGGCTGGGATTTTTGAAAATAGCTTTGCATTAAATACAGATGTGCCCTTTGTTTAAAATGTGTTTCTTTTGCATTTGTGTTCATTTTGATAACATTTGGAGGTTTGAAGTGAAGCTTATTTACAGCAACATTAAGTAGTGCGTGTTTGCTGTTCAGCGGAAGGGTTGTTATGAACACAGTTTACTGTTTACCTTGAAACTGGGCAACTTAACATCTGGTTTTGCACATAAATTATATTTTTTAAATTGCTAAAACGAATGTTGGTGTTTTTGTAGCTGTAGCTTTGTTCCCCTCTGATTTTTCATTAAATCTCTGTTTCAGCTTCACCGTTCAACTTTAAAGCTGTTCTTCACATGGAAAGTTGTTCATCATCACGCCATAAATAATCAAGGCTGGAGGAGTTCCATTGCTTCTCTGGCTTGCAGAGTATTGCCCTTCTCCAGCTGTAGAGTTACAGTTTCCTACGTCTAGCTTGACATAGTTGCTGGCAATAAATGTTTTACTTCATTCACTTGTTAGAATTTAGATCTCTGCTGTTTAGCTCCATCAGAGTTTCTCTCATACATCATTAGATACTTATTTTATCTACTATTCACTGAGCTCTTTAGAGAGAATGTCATAAGAAGGATGAACAGGTATTTAGGAGAGCAGATTTCAACCCTAACTTTGTGGAGATGATGCTGGCATTTGAGAATCAGGAGCTTATCTAGGCTCAGCTTTGTAGTATATTATATTTCTACAACACATCCACCTACATATAGATCTATTTTGGAAAGAAATATATACTTCAAATTCAGCTGTCAGTTCTTATTATCGAACCTGTACAATGTAGGTTTGTGGTTATTATGCATAAAGATTAAAATGCTATTAACCGTAGTAGGTTTACTTGACACATTCCTTATAGCTCTAAAAAAAATGAAAACTTCTGCGTGCTGAGTATGACACAGAAAAAAATCTGGTCTCATGAAGGAAACTCTAATGGCTTAAAGCTTGTCCTCATTTTAGTGTGTGCTTTTGTAGCTGATCTGTCACATTGTAGGATTTTCTTCACTTTTTCTTAAATTGCCATAATTTTTCTTGGTTTAGAATACTGAAGAAGACTTGAGCCTGCAAGCAAGTTTCAGGAAAAAATGCATTTATTTCTTTTATCTGAACAGGCAGACATGTCCATGTAATGAAAATAGTCTTGGTGGCCTTATTTATACATGCACAATGTGGGGCAGCATGCAAGGTTTGGACTCTGGTGTATGACTTTATGTGGTTAACTGTTCTGCAGTTCCAAAGTAGAAACTGAAAATCTGAGTTAAAAATAACTTAGTTTTAAGACTTCAGTGAATTCCTAATATCTTTTTGACAAACCTTCAAGAAATACCACAAAATGACAATAGCATACCTCTCTACTTGTGCTTTGACAATTTTGCTGATGTAGCAGTACTGGTTATGTTCTAAAATATGGTAGACCTGGTACTGTTAAGTTCTAAGGAAGATTTCTCCCTTACAGTATAAAATATGATTTCTGCTTCTTACAAATCCAGGAACATTATTGGGATGTTGTTTTGTAGAAATTTCCAGTTTAATGTAGAACAAGAGATAATGCCAGTGAAAAGGAAATTCTGTTGGAAGGAGATGTGTAAGCAAACTGTCCTGATGTGGACTTCTCTGCAGTGCTGCAGGTGAAACTTACACATGACAGGCCTTGTACTGGTAGGTACAAACAGTTTGTTCTTATCCAGAGCAATTTAGATTGGCCAAGAGAAGAATTGAAATATGTCCATGTCTTCTCTTTAACTTGAATTTTGTTTTAATATTTCAAATGTTATGCCAGTCCTGCTCATGCTCCAAGGCATATAGATTATTCAGATACTTCCTAGGGGACTTACAGCATAGTTTAGTGGAGGAAAAGGAAGAGAGATGCAAAGGAAGAAGGGAGAATGAAGGTTTGCTCAATGTATTGAATATAAGGTGAGGTTTCAGCCTTTGGTTGTCTGTATATGTGGAAGCATCCTTAGTCTGAACTTTTCCCTTCCACTCCCCATGGTTACATGGTTCCAGAGTCTGCTCACACTTAAGCTTCGTCAGTCTGGACAAGCATCCTCGACTTCCTTAGGCATCAGCTTTTCCAAATGGCATAACTGACTTTGATGAAATCTTCTTCTGTTAGTGTCTGTTACACACTTCAGTTAGGTGAGCCACACCCTTGCTG